ATCTATCTATCTATCTATCTATCTATCTATCTATCTATCTATCTATCCATCCTCTATCTATCTATCATAAGTTAAACAGAGAAGTGCATCCAAATGTGTTTTTGACAGACATGGAATAGTGACCCCTAACAATTACTCTCAACTATCTGGTACATGCTTAAAACTAATTATAAAAATATTAAAGTGATATCAGAGTACCAAGAAAAGATGATTTTACATAAAAAAGAATTCCACGAAATAAAAGGACTAGCTTCTGAAGCTGTTATCATTCCCCTTCTTGAACATGTCTTGTTTGCTCCTCTGAAAGTGATTATTTATTCTTAGAAAACATTTTGCTAATATAATGAAGCAAATATGTAGTTTTTTATTATTTTATTATATATGCAAGGGTGCTTAGTTTACATGCATGTCTGTAAACCATATGCATGTTTGATTCATAAGTACAGTCTCAAGGAGACTAAAAGAAACATTAGGTCCCATAGATCTGGATTTACAGAAGGTTTTCTGCCACCATGAGGATGTTGGGAATGGAATCTGGGTTCTGATGGAGAGCAGTTGGTGATCTTTCTAGCTGAATCATCTCTCCATTAGGGGTCACTATTCAATTTGTATCAAAAATATATTTGGGTGCACTTATCTGTTTCACTTATGATAGATAGATAGATAGATAGATAGATAGATAGATAGATAGATAGATAGACAGACAAACCAATGATTCTCCTGAAGCAAGGGTTTTATGACTAAAATTTTATTCTAAAGAATGTAAATCATATTTAGAAACAAGCGTACTCATAAATCAAAAAGTAAAATTGTATTTGATATATATTAACAAACTGACCTATAAATTGAAAATTTATCCTAGTAAAAAATCCATTATTTTGATTGGATGTTGTAATAGGGCATAAGAAATATGATAATTAATTACAAAGCCTTTTCACTTAGTGAATTTTCTATTACCATTAAACCCTGAATTAGAAAACAAGCAAAGCCACAAACTGTGGCAATGTCTTCAAGAAGGAGAAGTTTTGCAGGGTGAATGTTAGACTCCAAAATTAGCTCCCCAGAAATGTATGTTAAACGAGTAAATAAATGATAAATGAATCAAAAAAGTCTGATATTAATTACAGTTTATTCACTTTTGTATCCCAGCTGTAGCATCCCCCCCATATTCCCTCCCAATATCACCTTCCCTCCCTCATCTCCTTCCATAGCCCTCCACAAGTCCACTGATAGGGGGGAACTCCTCTCCTTCCATCTGACCGTAGCCTCTCAGGTGTCATCAGGGCTGGCTGCATTGTCGTCCTCTGTGGCCTGGCAAAGCTGCTCCTCCCGTGGAGGTGGGGGGGGTGATCCAAGAGCCTGCCACTGAGTTCATGTCAGAGACAGTCCCTGTTCCCCTTACTAAGGACCCACTTGGATAAATGAGCTGCCATGGGCTACATCTAAGCAGGGGTTCTAGGTTATAACCATGAATGGTCTTTGGTTGTAATTAATATAAGAAAATAAAAATCTAATGTAAAAAAAAAAAAGAAAACCCCAAGTACAGAATAAGGGAAAGAAAAACTATTTTTTTTTCTGAAGTAAATAAATAAAAAAAAAGCCCGAGTCTGGAAAATTTGAAATACTGGAAATTAAAAAAGAAAAAATACAGCTGGAAGTCTAACATGGTGGAAAGTAGAATAACAAGAAAGAAAGTAAAAATAGAAAAAAAAACACATATAGGAGCAACACTGATTTTTATTAGTGTCCATTAACTGTAGAATACAATAGTTTCATTGTGACACTTTTATACATACATATAATGTAATTTATTTTTATTCACAGTTTTATTTTCTTCATATGTTATCACTTCTTATAAATGTTTTCCATTTTTACTTGCTATTACTGCTCTCACGATAACTTGTGAGAGCAGAATTAGTTTATTTGTAAGGGTAATATTTCATCATTTATCAGTTATTCTAATTCAAACACCTTTAAAGATTGTCATATTATAGACTAATGTTTTTCAACATATGATCTCTAGGAAAAAAAAAAACAGGTAGTGGTGGCACACTCCTTTAATTTCCGCACTTTGGAGGCAGAGACAAGCAGAGATCTCTGAGTTTGAGGTCAGCCTAGTCTACAGAACAAGTTCTAGGACAGTCTGAGCCACACAGAGAAACACTGTTTCAAACAAAACAAAACTATATATATGTATATATTTTTTAAATTTAACACTTCTGAAAAGTAGATTGTAAATGGGATTTAGATTTCCAATATTGTTGAATTACTTCATACAATAGTGTTCTTCAGAAAATAACAAATATTATACAATACAATAATTTCAGTTTGAAAGCTAGGTATTTTATTGCTTTTTTTAATTCTTTGTTTTTCACCTTTTGGGTTAGTTTTTGCTTCCATACACTAGGTTGACCTAAAGGTGATGGCAGTCCTCCTGCATCAGCCCAAGTACTGAGATTACAGACATGAACCATTATATCTGGTTTATATGCACTGAATAGAATAACATTTACAGCTTCATGGTACTTAAATTAAAAGCCAAACATACTAAGTGCAAAATAGAAATGCAACTATCTTTCCTTATGATATTTTTCTTTCTGTCCTCGCAGTCTGTTCAGGGCATTATACATGCCAGGCTACTGTTCCACTTTTGAGATATAAACTCTGGTTCTAGTTTGTGATATGTGTAAAGACACCATCTGCAATATAGAAACAATTTTAAGTGTTAAGGTATTTGTTTATTTTATCCATTAAGTATGTGGGTGAGCACATGTATATCAGAGTGTGCATGTGGATATGATTTACAGGCATCTGTTTTCTCCTTGGGATCAAACTCGAGCCATCAGACTTAGTTGCCAGCACCTTTACACACTGAACCATTTCTCTGGTACAATATATAATTTTTTTTGTGTGTGTGTGCATGTTTGTTGTATTTGCTTCTATTTTGTAGTCTTTTTGCTATTTTAAACTTAAAAGAATTTTTATTTTTTTTTTAAATTTTATTTTTTCTTTTTAGTTACATTTTGTTAACTCTGTGTCCCAGCTGTATCCTGCTCCCTCATTCCCTCCCCAACCCCACACTCCCTCCCTGGTCTCCTCCCTGCCCCTTTCCAAGTCCACTGATAGGGGAGGACCTCCTCCCCTTTCATTTGACCCTGTTTTATCAGGTATCTTCAGGGCTGGCTGCAAAGTCCTCCTCTGTGGCCTAACAGAATGCTCCTCCCCTGGGGGGGGGGGGTCAAACAGCCTGCCCTTGAGATCCTGTCAGAAATAGTCCGTGTTCCCCTTACTTTGGAAAATTACTTGGTTACTGAGCTACCACGGGCCACATCCGAGCTGAAGTTCTAGGTTATATCCATAGATGGTCTTTGGTTGAGTGTCAGTCTCAGAAAAGACCCTGTGCCGGGATATATTTGGTCCTTGTAGAGCTCCTATCCTTTCCATATCATACTAACTTCCGTTCTTTCATATGATTCCCTGCACTCTGCCGAGGGTTTGGTTATGAGTCTTAGTGTCTGCTTTGAAACACTGCTAGGTAGAGTCTTTCAGATGCCTTTTGTGGTAGACTCCAATTTTTAAACAAAAAGTGGTTATAAGCATAACCAGCTTCATGCCTGATTCTACAAATAAATGAAATAGAAAATTTTGTAACCTTTTTCAGTTACCACAGTTCAGTTTGGGAAACCTGTCATATTGAGGGCCTCCTTCTGAGTTTTTGGTAGACAGAAACAAAACAAAAAACAAAACAAACAAACAAAAAAGGCTCTATGGAAAATTTAATACTGTTGGGAAAATAATGAGTTAGTAGTTTTGAGTATCTTTTGAAAAATATAAGTTTCACCATAAAGCTGGAAGAGAGATTCAATCATTTTGACTTTAGGCATTTTAAGATTAGATAATCTTGAAATGTTGTTGAATGGATTCTTAATAAACATATATGTTCCTTTATCTCTATTGCCACTCTTCTAGAAAGCATAGCTGCAAAACTCTTCCTACTAGTTCTTGAAAAACCAGTGTGAGCACTTAAGAACAATAGTAAAACAGTAAAGAATTAGATATAAAAATCTAAGTAGTAAGGACAACATATGTAAAGGGCAGCATTCGCTTATGCAAACAAAGCATTATATTGAAAAAGCCTCTATCAGTACAGTTTTTCACATTACTATAAATCCCTTGCATTATAGTATGTTATTGAATTTTCCTTAAAGATGTTTTTTTTTGAAATTTTACTTTTTAATATCCAGGAATATAGTGCTCTGTTATTTAATTTTGTTTCTGTATAATGTGATCACTATAAAACTACTTAATTAAATACAATTATCACATACATATCCAAAGCTAACTTTAATGAGTACAATGTATCATAAAAGAAGCATCAGAACACTATAATCAAGATGAGAACCAAATTTTAAATTTTGAATGAATTTTCAGTTATGGTGAGTAATAGAACTGTGAAAATCTTTATAGTTCAAGTTACTTAACTACTATTCAAAACTTTTATGATCGTAATAAAGTTAAAAAAAATTTTCTGTAGCTATCCTAATGCCATAGAAAACTGACCTGGTTCAAGGCAGATAACTAAATATTTCAAGTTCAATTTTTTGTGATTGTTAATTAATGAATCTTTGTGTAATATCCTAATCTATCAATTTTCTATTACTCTGTATTGTTAATAATTAGCACAACTTACTTTTGAATTCTAATCTAAATTGACTGTGATAGTTTTCACTAAAATAGATCAGAAGAAAACTTAGTGAAAATTGGATTAAATAGAAACAAAAACATTCACAGAAAACATGTGAAGCCATGCATGAATTTGTATCTCTTTTTATTTTAAATCTATTATTTAAATATGCTTAGTGAAGATAAGATGACCTAAACTAAAATAAATTAGCTAGAGGTAATATATGCTCAGTTGAAGGTTTGCCTTTTTATGGCCATACAACTGTCAATGACATTTTTGCAGATGTTAACTTTATCTTCATTGTTACAATGAATTATTTTTCCCACAAATCTATCAGAAAACATAACATGGAAAGTGCGTTAGTTATCCTTGAGATTGATTTTATACAATTAGGATAATTGTGTAATTATTGATAAATCATCATCAATGATGTTTCCCTGAAACATCAATTTACTGGCTTCAGTAAACTATAGGAATGAAAACAAATTTGATCAACTTTCACTTTCATTTTTTTAATGAGAGGCCAAGCCATTGTGAAAAATCTACCTTAACTGAAAATATTCTGCAGTGACTTTGATGGATGACAAAATGCATTGTTTATAAAAACTAAAAATTCATTACAGTAAGAGTAAGAATTTACTATTGTATTGTTGAGAGTATTTTACTTCACTAAATTGATATTTCAGAAGTTAAATAAAAACCTCCATCAATGTGGTAATTCCTCAGAATTCTGTACTTTTACCTACAATTCTTCAAATAACATTTTGAGAACCAATGTAAAATAATTTACTTGAAAGGAATTTTAATATCTGATTATTTAGCCAATTATCTGATACTTAATTCATTTTAAATCAGTACACATACAAATACACTCAACAAAGAAATCCTTCAGTTGTAGAAAAATGAAAATTGAAGAATTATTATCATAATTGAAACTTTAAATATATACAAATAATAGAATCCAAGACAAGGGCTTTTTTATAGGTATGTTTGAGACCTGTGTTAATACTACTAGTAATCTTACTTCATGTTATATTTATTATTAGCATGAACATCATATTTTATTGACATAAGCCACATACTTTAACACTTTTCTTCTCAATCTTCAATTTTAACCCAGAAAGTGGTAGAGTTATCACTCCTAGCCTTTAAATTACTGTCATCTGACCTAGTTAATTTAATTTGAGCTCTCTTCACTGGTGCTATACTGTAAATTAGAACACACAACATGAAATAAGCCAATTCAGAATCTTAGCATGGTCTTATCATTTTTAATTACATCTTTAACAGGTACCACTACAATTGAGAAGTATGACCTCAGAACAAACAGTTGGATCCATATTGGCAATATGAGCGGCCGTAGGCTTCAGTTTGGAGTTGCAGTTGTTGATAATAAACTTTATGTTGTGGGAGGAAGAGATGGCCTAAAAACTTTGAATACTGTGGAATGTTTTAATCCAGTTACCAAAACCTGGGTTGTGATGCCTCCTATGTCAACACACAGGCATGGATTAGGTAAGATATTTAAAGCTATATAACTTCTCAAAAATGTACAGGAACATATTTAAAACTAGATCCAGCTGCAGTTTATGAGGAGTTATTCAATAATTCACAGAAGCTTCAAAGTTCTGGAAAGGTTAAGCTAACCTGAAATTCTCATGGAAATCTTTAATTGTAACATAAATTATATTTTAATTCCATGCCACTTCTACCAACAATAGTGGATGACGTAGTGCAGAATAACGGGGAACTTTAATTCTTCGGAATATTTGTCACGGTACACTTTTCATCATCCTAAGTTCCATGTGTATTAAATATTATAGTATTTGAAAAATAGAGTACTTGACTGTTCTTTTACATAATAAACTTTTTAGGTTTCTTTTTAAAATAATGTGTAGCCAAACTTGTCTATGTGTGGGTTTATAAAAATATGAATGATATCTGAGAGATCAGAAAAGGATATCAGATCTCATGCAGTTGAGAGCTACCAGATATAAGTCCTAGAACTGAACTCATCCAGTCTTTGGAAAGATCAGTACCCACTTTTAGACACGGGGTTATTTCTCTAAATTAGCTCAATAAACTTTCTTAGGGCTTCTAAATGTCAGTTCCAGGAATGGAATTTTCTTCTCATTTGTCTTGAGAAATTATTTCTGCTAAATTGTACACAGTGTAGTTATTATCTGTTATATCATTGTAGTTCTTATACATGTGCTTATCCTGTAGAGACATAAAAGAAAGCTTTTAAAAATACCATCCAAGCATCTGTTTTGATACCCTGCTGGGTGGAGACTCATAGCCAAACTTTGGGCAGAGTGCAGGGAATCTTACGAAAGAAAGGGGAGATAGAAAGACCTGGAGGGGACAGGAGTTCCACAAGGAGTGGAACAGAACCAAAAAATCTGGGCACAGGGTTCTTTTGTGATACTAATACTACAAACAAGGACCATGCATAGAGATAACCTAGTAGCTGCATATATGTAGCCCATGGCAGCTCAGTGTGCAAGAGGGTACCCTAGTAAGGGGAACAGGGATTGTCTCTGACATGAACTCAGGCGCTGGCTCTTTGATCACCTCCCCCTGAGGAGGGAGCAGCCTTACCAGTCCACAGTGGAAGACAATGAAGACAGTCCTGATGAGACCTGATAGACTAGGGTCAGATGGAAGGGGAGGAGGACCTTCCCTGTCATTGGACAGGGAGAGGGGCATAGGAGAAGAAGAGGGAGGGAGGGTGGGATTGGAAGAGGAAGGGGGAGGGGACCACACTGCAATACTAAGTGAATAAACTGTACTTAATAATATTAAAATTAAAATTAAAATTACATTCTAACAGATGTTAATAATCACATGTGAGATGGGTGTAAAAACACAATGAGATTCTGGTTAAGATGAAAGTGAATGAAAAGGTCAGTTCTCAGAGTCCTGGGGAGCAGAAAAGGATCATTCATAATTTCTATCAAAAACTTCCAGATAATCCTCAAAGTTAGATGCTTACTGAATAATATCTAGAAAATAATTTTAACTCTGTATTCAAATACGGAATGAAAGGTCATTTCCCATTTAGGTTGAAAGTAGTGGTTTGTCTTATCTTAATTATCCTAGCCTGTATGTGTATGCATTAATGAACAGTGTAGAAATTATATCAGAAAAAATGTTACTTTCCATTTTAATTGCTTTCCTGATATTATACTCAACTACTTCTGTTGATTTTAATGATACAGGAATGATAGCTTTCTATGATATATAGTGATCAGTGGAATTTTTAATGATAATTAAACCATATTTGACTTCCTACAAGAATCAATAAAGTATTATATGAACAGAAAACTATTTCAGATACCAAATAGAAAGTTTTTTAAACAGTTGGTAACTGTAAAGTGAAAATACATGTATTGAATAAGGCATACCTAAGTGAGCCCTCATACTTTGTTATTTAGGCGTAGCCACACTTGAAGGACCAATGTATGCTGTTGGAGGTCATGATGGATGGAGTTATCTAAATACTGTAGAAAGATGGGATCCTGATGGACGTCAGTGGAATTACGTGGCCAGCATGTCAACTCCCAGAAGTACAGTTGGAGTTGTTGCATTAAACAACAAGTAAGGTTAACTTGGCATCCTTAGTAGAAACTATAAGTTATTTGGTGGAAATTTCTTTTCACTACAATGGGCAATAGCTATTTAAAATAAGTACTTTTTTTTTTTTTTTACTTTATCTCTTCTGCTTTTTTTTTCTTTTTTTATATCTTTTTTCTTTTTTTATTTTTTATTAATTACAGTTTATTCACTTTGTATCCCCCCATAAGCCCCTCCTTCCTCCCCTCCGAGCCCCACCCTCCCTCCCCCTTCTTCTCACTTGCCTCTCCCAAGTCCACTGTTAGGGGAGTCCTTCTCTCTTTCCTTCTGATCTTAGTCTATCAGATCCCATCAGGAATGGCTGCATTGTCATCTTCTGTGGCCTGGTAGGGCTGCTCTCCCCTCAGGGGGAGGTGATCAAAGAACAGGCCAATCAGATTATGTCAGAGGCAGTCCCTCTTCCCATTTCTATGGAACCCATTTGGATAAGTACTTTTAAAAATATTTTGTGGACTCTCTTTTTCAAATTTTGGTCCTGGGACAAGAAACATAAGTATTCTTATGGATAAATTTTGCATCTTAGCCCTAACTCAAAAGAGTCAGAATCTGCATTTTAATGAGATCATTAGGAAAACTGTGCATACATACATTTGAGGAACACTATAGCAGATAATCATTTCCAATTTACCCTAAGTTTTGCATTATAAACTGTAACTTTATAAAATAATTTGTCTATGTTTATAAATCAGATAAGTTTTTGTTTAGCAAAAATTCTCTTCCAATAGTAAAAGGTTCAGAATTATTAAATTCCATCTGTTTTTCTCCTAAAAGTTTACTTTTTCCCCCTAGTCCTCTGAGAACAACCTAATCAACTAAAGTTAATGATGCTTCTACTCATTGAATTTATTTAATTTTTTCTCCAATTGTTGATATTATGATACAGTTACATCATTTCTTCCTTCCCTTAAAAGTGTGCCATAGTTGCCATAGTCCTTTTTATTTTCTCTTTCAAATTTATGGCTTCTTTTATTATTTTTTTCACATTCATGTATGTATATACATATGCATTACTAAATATAACATGCTTAGTCTGTATAATGCTACTTATATCTATATTTTCAGGGACATGACACCAGTCAAGAATAGCTTACATGATAGGAATTTCATACAATAGGGTAGTCAGTGTCTAAAACAGCTATGTTACTCTATACTTTGTACTCTGACTACACATAAAACTGGTACCTGAGAAAATAGATAAGCACAGTAAAAAAAATATATATATATATCAGCACAAGGATATTTTAACTAAACAGAGGAACAAATAGAAAACTTTTACAGCAGAAAGAGGGTCAATATCCATAATATACTGGGATTTCACACAATCCTAAAATGACTGACTGATCTAACCTGAGGATATCAAGTGTTTCAGTTCCATAATCTCCTCTATACAACACACTGGTTCAAATCAACTTGAAATTATTTTAATTTGTTTTATTGAGTTTCTGAAGTTCAAATTCAGTATGAAAGAATTTTGCAAGTGTATGGTTTAGTAAATGTTTATCATCTTATTATTAAAGGGTAAAATTTAAATTAACGTATTATATATCAAAATACTTGACATCCGTAAGTCACTAAGGAAAGTGTAATAGCTACATTTTCTTCCTAACGGTAATCCACCTTCTCAATTATATTGTTTCCTTAGTTGATTTATATCAATATCTTCTAAGAAAAATATTTCATACTAAATAATTTGCGCATGACAGAAAGTGTGAAATGAAGCAGTTAGATAACATATAAATGTAACTTTGTTGAAAATGGTTGTTGGGACATGTGCAAAACCATTTGATATCCTCTGGCTTTCTGCACACACTTGTTTCCTGGGCCTTTTAGTGTTTCATGAAATTTACATTAACAAAAATGAAAGAGAGATATCTGGAATAAGCTAGGTTGGATCAGGTTCCACAGATAAGTACCCATTCACAAACCACAGATGTTCTGTTACAAATAGTGATGAAATAGAACGTGAATTATAATTGTGAGAAAGTAAAAGAATGCCTTCATTCTCATTTTTGTGCAAAAATTTTATGTGAATATGCACACATACATAGGTATGTATATATGCCTATATTTCTTCTAGGCTATATGCTATTGGTGGGCGTGATGGAAGTTCCTGCCTCAAGTCAATGGAGTACTTTGATCCTCACACTAACAAGTGGAGTCTGTGTGCTCCCATGTCCAAAAGACGTGGAGGTGTAGGGGTAGCAACACACAACGGATACTTGTATGTTGTAGGAGGTCATGACGCCCCTGCTCCTAACCATTGCTCCAGGCTTTCTGACTGTGTGGAAAGGTAAGTTTTTTTCTTTTTTATTATTATTAATATTATTATTAGTTACAATTTATTAATTCTGTATCCCAGCTGTATCCCATTCCCTTATTCCCTCCCAACCCCACCCTCCCTTATCTCCTCCCTGCCCCTTTCCAAGTCTGCTGATTGGGGAGGACCTCCTCCCCTTTCATCTGACCCTGTTTTATCAGGTATCTTCAGGACTGGCTGCAAAGGTAAGTTTTATGGATGTTCTTATTTAGATTTTTTTTTTAATGAGAAAAAGTTGAAACTACCAGAATGTAATCCCTTAATATGTTACTCTTTTAAGTATATTTGCTCTTTGTAACATTGTACAGTCATGCTTAGACAAAAAGTATTTTGCACATGTCTATAAAATTCAGTGTAAAGCATCATGATGTATAACTATGTACTTTAGTTACATTATAAAGTAGTGGCACAAAAGAGATAAAAGAGTAAGGACACTTTATGAAAAGATATCAATCAACTCATTGGATTGAAATCAAATTAAGTTTACTGTTTCTAAACTCAACCTGATCCTCAAAATTATTTTAAAAGTGATATAAAGAAATATAGGCAGAATTTTCAAACAAAATTAATTTTCTGACCTTACTTACTGCAAAAATATTTCCTTGCTCAAAGCTAAGTTCTTTGAGTGGACAACATTGATTCAGATAAATAGCATGATTTGTTGCTTAAAATAAAAACATCTGTCTGCATTCTTTTTTAAAGTAGACAGCATGTGTAGGCACAAAAATAGTTTTAGAAAAGTCAAACAGATAGACATCAGAAAGGGTGGATGAGAGGAAAGAGGATGGGAGCCTACTATAGAGGGTCCTCTGAAATGATTCACCCAACAGGAGATCACAACAGATGCTGAGACTCACAGTCAAACTTTGGGCAGAACACAGGGAGTCTTATGGAAGAAGAGAGGGGTGGGAATGGAGAGATGTGGAAGGGACAGGAGCTAAACAAAGAGACCAACAATGCTAAAGGATCTGAGCACAAGGGGTCATGCAGAGACTGATGCACAAATGTAGGACCATGTATGGAGAGGAGATAGACCCCTTACTAAGTTGTGGCCAATTAGCAGCTCAGTCTCCATGTGGATCTCCAAGTGATAGGAAGAGGAGCTGTCTCTATAATGAACTTGGATCACTGCTCTTTGATCACTCAGGCCTGCAGGCAAATGGTGGGAACTAGAAAAGATATTCTGAGTGACATACCCCAGAAGTAGAAAGACACACATGGTATACCCTCACTTATATGGATACTAGACGTATAATATAGGATAAACATAATAAAATCTGTACACCTAAAGAAGCTAAATCCTCACTTACAAAGACAATGGGATGGACATTGGAAGAAGGAAAAAAACAAGAAACAGGACTTACCACAGAGAACCTCTGAAAGACTCTACCCAGCAATGTGTCAAAGCAGATACTGAGACTCATAACCAAATCTTCGGCAGAGTGCAGGGAATCATATGAAAGAAGGGGATGTTAGTAAGACCTGGAAAGGACAGAAGCACCACAAGGAGAGCAACAGAACCAAAATATCTGGGCACAGGGGTCTTTTCTGAGACTGATACTTCAGCCAAGGTCCATTCATGGATATAACCTCGAACCCCTGCTCAGATATAGCCCATGACAGCTCAGTATCCAAGTGGATACTATAGTAATTGGAACAAGGACTGTCTCTGACATGAACTCAGTGGCTGGCTCTTTGACCCCCCCTCCCCCACGAGGGAGGCACAGTCATTCCAGGGAACAGAGGAGGACATTGCAGCAAGTCCTGATGAGACCTGATAAACTAGGGTCAGATGGAAGGGGAGGAGGACCTCCCCTATAGTGGACTTGGAGAGCGGGATGGAAGGAGATGAGGAAGAGAGTGTGTGATTGGGAGGGAATGAGGAAGGGGGCTAGAACTGGGATACAAAGCGAATAAAACGTAATTAATGTAAAAAAAAAGAAAGTCTCTTGCTAACACAAACAGAAATACACGATACCCACACTCACATGCACACTCGCGTGCCTGCACACACATACAGACAGAGAAACACCCCTCACATACATTGAAAGCCACTGAAGTAAAGAAAGGGGTTTCTCATTTTCTGGTTTGTTTCTCTTCTACTGTGAGAAAACACTACCAAAACTAAGTGGAGAAAAACATTTATTTTAGTTTATACCTTTGCAATCTATCAAGGAAACCAAGTCAGGAACTAATGCAAGAACTGGGGTGTTTGAACTGAAGCAGAGACCATGGAAAAACACTGCTTACCTGATTGTCCCTCAAGTCTTACTAAGCATGTTTTCTTATGTATCCTAGGCCCATATGCCCTGTGACAGCACAGACCAAAATGGGTAGCACCTAAGCATTAATCTAGAAAATACCCACAGACATTACTATATGCCAAAATCTAACTGACACAATTCCTCAATTGAGGTCTTCACTTTCTCAGTGATTCCCGTTTGTGTTTAATTGACAATTACTAATTAGTACAAAAATGCTTTATTTTTTATTATTTGTTGAAAAAATGGTTGATTTACCCAAGTATTTTGGATTCTCAAAGTATTATTTAACATGTAAGCATTTAAATTAGAAAGTGCCCAAACCATAGGAGTTCATTTTTTATAGAAATTAATTTAAAAGTGTAGTTCAAGAAGTTAAAAAATTACTCCCAATTATTCTATCATGATTAATTATCTTGTGTTTTCAAGATCAATAGACATTTCCATTAGAAGTAGTATGTAGTTATGAATGTGTGTTTATAGACTGACTGAATAAAGGAGAAACAGGGAGAGTGGCAATGCTATTTTAAATTTTTTTTTGTTTTAGATGTCGACATACTATAAAAATTTGAGGTGATACAGTAATGGCATTCAATAATATATAAACTATATAGAATTTGTCTTGATTTATAGTTTTCTGGGAGTATTAAATATTATTGAATTGATATTAAATTCAGATACAAATTAAAATGGGATATTTTAGATACCTATTTAAAATTTTATTTTATTTTTTTTACATTTTCTTTCTTTTTTAATTTTAATTTTATATTTATATTAATCACACTTTGTATCCTTGCCATAGCCCCCTCCCTCATTCTCTCCCAATCCCACCCTCCCTCTCTTAACTCCTCCCTGCCTCTCTCCAAGTCCACTGCTAGGGGATGTCCTCCTCCCCTTCCATTTGACCCTAGCTCATCAGGTATATCCAAGACTGGCTGCCATGTTTTTCGTTGTGACCTAGCAAGTCTGTTCCTCCCTCAAGAGGGGGGAGGTAAAGGAGCCAGTCGTTGAGTTCATGTCAGAAATAGTTCCTGTTCGCCTTACTAGGGAAAACCCACTTGGTTACTAAGCTACCTTGGGCTACATCCAAACAGGGGTTCTAGTTTATATCCTTATATGGTACTTGGTTGGAGAAACAGTCTCATAGATGGATCCTGTGCCCTGATATATTTTATCCTTGTGGAGCTCCTGTCCTCTTCTGATCATAATAACTCCTCCTTCTTTCATATGATCCTCTGCACTCTGACTAAGGTTTGGTTATGTGTCTCCATATCTGCTTTGATACACTGCTAGGTAGACTCTTTCAGAGGACCTCTGCAGTAGGCTTCTGTCCTGTTACTTGTATTCTCCTAACATTTTCTTTTTTTAATAATCTTTTATTTTTATTATTAGTTATATTTTATTAACTCTGTATCCCGCTGTATCCTGTTCCCTCATTCCCTCCCAAACCTTCCCTCCCTCACTCCCTCATCTCCTCCCTGCCCCTTTCCAAGTCCACTGATTGGGGAGAACCTCCTCCCCTTTCATCTGACCCTGTTTTATCAAGTATCTTCAGGACTGGCTGCAAAGTCCTCCTCTGTGGCCTAGCAGGACTGCTCCTCCCTTTTGGGGTGGGGAGGTCAAAGAGCCTGCCATTGAGTTCCTGTCAGAGATAGTCCCTGTTCCCTTTACTATGGGAAACCAATTGGTTACTGAGCTACCACATGCTTCATCTGAGCAGAGGTTCTAGGTTATATCCATACATGGTCCTTGGTGGAGTATCAGCCTCAGAAAAGCCCCCTGTGCCCAGATATATTTGGTCCTTGTGGAGCTCCTATCCTTTCCATGTCATACTAACTCTCCCTTCTTCCATATGATTCCCTGCACTCTGCCAAAGGTTTGGTTATGAGTCTTAGTATCTGCTTTGATACACTGCTAGGTAGAGTCTTTCAAGGGCCCTCTGCAGTAGGCTCCTGTCCTGTTACTTGTTTTCTCGTACATCCAATGCACCTCCCATTTGTCTTTCTAAGTGAGGATTGATCATCTTACCCCCGGTCCTCTTTCTCGTTTATCTTCTTTGGTGTATAGATTTCATTATGTTTATCATATCTTATAGGACTATATGAGTGAGTATATACCATGTGTGTCTTTCTCTTTCTGGGATACCTCACTCAGAATGATCTTATCTAGGTTCCACCATTTGCCTGCAAATTTCATGATTTCCTTGTTTTTTATTGCTGAGTAGTATTCCATTGTGTAAAAATACCAAAATTTCTATATCCATTCCTCCGTTGAGGGACATCTGGGTTGTTTCCAGGTTCTGGCTATTATAAATAAAGCTGCTACAAACATGGTTGAGCAAATGTCCTTGTTGTGTACCTAAGCAAATGTTGGGTATATGCCTAGGAGTGGTGTAGCTGGATCTCGAGGAAGCACTATTCCTAATTGTCTGAGAAAGCACCAGATTGACTTCCAAAGTGGTTGTACCAGTTTACATTCCCACTAGCATTGGAGGAGGGTTCCCCTTTCTCCAAAACCTCTCCAGCATCTTAGCCATTTTGATGGGTGTAAGGTGAAATCTCAGGGTCGTTTTGATTTGTATCTCCCTGATAGCTAATGATGTTCAGCATCTCTTTAAGTGTTTCTCTGCCATTCTATATTTCTCTACAGAGAATTCTCTGTTTAGCTCCGTACTCCAATTTTTAATTGGATTACTTGATTTATTGCTTTTTACCTTCTTTAGTTCTTTATACATGCTGGATATATGCCCTCTGTCAGATATAGGGTTGGTGAAGATGCTTTCCCAGTCTGTAAGCTGTCGTTTTGTTCTGACAACATTGTCTTTTGCTTCACCGAAGCTTTTCAGTTTCATGAGGTCCGATTTATTGATTGTTGCTCTTAGAGCCTGATTTTAAGAGAGGTAATACCAATATAAGTAAATTACTGTAAGGCAATATATGAAAAATACTTTCTTTACGATCTATTTATTTATTACATATACAGTATTCTGTCTGCATATACAGCTACATGCCAGAAGAGGATACCAGTTCTCACTACAGATTATTTTGAACCATTATGTGGTTGCTGAGAACTGAACTCAGGACATCTGGAAGAGCATCCAGTGCTCTTAACTTCTGAGCCATCTCTCCAGCCCTGAGAAAATACTTTAAGTGTGCTTTTACAAATAGGTCAGCATGATTAGATAGTTATGTCATATATGGTTAAATTAATTTAGATATATTTCACACTTTTTATATTTAGTGTTATATATTTTTAACATGTGCTTCAACGTTGCAGAAATTTTTCTTACAGAAGGTTTTAATGCTCTCTTTTTATAGCATATGAGAAAGGGGACAAAAAGAAGTGCATTCTTTTCTTTATATATGCTTTTTGCGCCCTTTTGTGACGAGAGTGTTATGTCATGTACATGTTCTTTGATGAAAATTCTTTTATCTTGAATAGCAGTTATGTTTCTTAACTGTGTTTTACGCTAGTACACATTTTATTAATCTCTGTCATTTCATTGAAACTTTACTGCATTTTAATTTTCCATTTGTCTTCCTAAATCTCTTAAGATATGATCCAAAAAGTGACTCGTGGTCAAATATAGCACCTTTGAGTGTTCCTCGAGATGCTGTTGCAGTATGCCCCCTTGGAGACAAACTCTATGTGGTTGGTGGATATGATGGTCATACTTATTTGAATACTGTTGAATCATATGATGTTCAGAAAGATGAATGGAAAGAGGTATTCTTGTAAAAAATCAAATTTGTATATTTCAGAATTTAAAGAATGATTTTAAAGCATAATTTTTGAATTCAGTTTTTATTATTCTTTTTACAGCCATACTAGATCTTTTCATAATTAACAAGTACTTAGGAAACCTAGATTCTGTTTTTAGCTCTACCACTGTTTCATTCACAGAGAATGGCAGTAAAACTATATATGCCAAATCCTCACAAAATCTTTGAGTGATATCATTGTGCCTTTTCAACTGAGGAAATTGCTGCAAATGTAAAACTGATCGAAAAGCAACTGATTTTCTAGCCATGATGTATTAGCATTCTACAGTCTATCATTATCTGTGCTACCATTATTATTATTATTATTATTATTATTATTATTATTATTGTTGTTATTATTATTATTTTAGACAATGTGAAAGTTAGGTCAAAATAGGTTAAGTATTTTTGAACGCCAACATTATGAGTTATGGTAAAGACAGTGTTTCTTTTCTTATTTTTCCCGTAGGAAGTTCCTGTGAACATTGGAAGAGCTGGGGCATGTGTTGTAGTTGTGAAGTTACACTGAAATTGCCATTAGCTAATGGAATTAATTCAAGAATGGAAAAAAAAGCTCTTTTGTGAAGTTGATAAGCAAACTAAATTTTGTTGCATCATTCTCATGTGTAGTTGAAACTATTAATATTTGTACGGCTGAAAACAAGACTTAAATGTCAATAACATGTTACTGTTAAGTGTATGTACTGTCTCAGTTAATGGTCTAATGAGAAACCTAATGGGCTATGTTTAGCTTTATTACCATAAAATTTTAAAAAAACTAATGAATATTTTTGTTGTGGGCAATATTTGAAGGTAATGAATGCATTAACAATTTTCATGTAAGGATCTGAGAAGTAAAACCATTTTTTTTCCCTAAAGGTACTCTACTGTCTAGAATAACTTAATTCAAAAATATAAAACGACAGAAATTTTAAAGCATAAAGTCTCGATTTCAAACAATAGCTCACAGAGCTAATAATACCTCACATTGCCAAGAAAAAAAAAAAAAAGGATTTTGTGTCAAAGATGAAACAGATCAATCATTGATGTAATTTGCTATACTAATCACACTATATCAAACTTTCCACAAACCTATAATTTTCAGTTAACTATCTGCCAAAATACACGTATAGATTTTCTATCTCATGATGTGGTTTGTTAGTATATTCATTTGCAGTAAAATTCACAATCTATATTCTGAAACAGTGAATATCATATTGATAAATACTATGACCTGAACATTAGGATGTGTGGGTCTCATGTGTATAGAAATTAATTTACTCTTCAAACATTTAATGTGTTCTCTGGAAATACCGTCTATTAAGTTAAACATGATTTAAACAATTCTAAAGAAGATTATAATTGAGAAAATGATATACAAAATTAGTACTTAGAAACATCAAAATGTTTAACATGCACAGCCAAGTTTATAATTTCCCATTACCTATCAATACTCACTATTTTAAATTTCATAATCATGTTTACCCAGTAGCAAAGTGTAAGGACATGTGTATACTATAAAACTACACTTTTCAAAATAAAAAAATTAAAAAAGACTATTTGAATCTTTTCATTTAAATTTTAACTTTCAACTACTATTTTCATTTAAATTTTAAACTATTATTTTCATTTATCCTATGTAATGATGAAACAATATGGTGAAATATTGAAAATTCTTGTTTATGAAGTCAACTATTCAAGTAAGCGTTCCATTTTAGAATTTCTATAATGTATTCTTTTCAATGAATTTTGTACTGTAGACTATCAAAGCAAACAACAAACTCCAGAGAGGTAATTATAAAATGAACTATGGTTACCTATTAATTTTTTTTAAATCACATCATAAGTTTCACAAAAGTGTTTGTACTTTGACTAGCTAAATTTAAATAAAATCTTTTCCCTCTGGCTATAGAGACTATGAATTTTGAATGTACGCAGTACATGCTGAATGATCCTTCTAATAATGCAGTGCCCCTATAGTGAAAATATTTGAATGCTAATAAAAGGCTCCCTTCTTTGTTTCTTATTTTGTCTGTAATTCTCAACACAGAACTACAGATTTTTCCATGTCTAGAGGCGAGATTGAGTAATATAGAAAGGCTATAAAACACACATAAGACCTTGCTGGAATTTTAATGTTTTTTAGCATGTATTAGTTATACATAATAATGAGTTCCATTGTGACATTTCTTGCATGTCTATAATCTATTTTGATTATATGTATACTTTAAGTACCCTCTTTTTTCTTTCTTTTACTAATGTCACTCCTCTTCTCAGCTAGTCCTGTCTTTCATGATTATTCCATTTACCTTGCTACTGAATGAGTTTCATTAGTGCTGTTTACAGTAGCATTGGTGAGAGGTTTGTTAGATATTTTAGATTAACACTTTTTTGTAAATTATTTTAAAGGTAGCAACATCTCAGCCTTTAACCACATCACAACATTTGAAGTACCATGTTTTATACTTTTGGTTTTGAAGTACAATGTTTTTTTTTTGTTTTGTTTTGTTTTTTTGTTTTTTTTTTTTTAAGGACAAAGCATAATCTTAATTTTTTCAAAGTTTTGGTTTCACAAGAGGTTTTTAGAAATGACCCAGAGAAAACTGTTCTTGTGATTAAGTTCCACCAAAAAAAAAAAAAAAAAAAAAAAAAAAAAAGACTGTTAATTAGACATGTTATTGTACTTAGTAGTAACTGCTTGACGGGAAGCCTAGTCTGTTCACATTCTTCTGGCTTTCTTTGAAAGTAACCCTTCCTCATAGGCTCTGGGCAATATCACTTTGGAATGAGGGGTTTATGATCTACTGTTAGACAAGGGTAGCTCAGAGAATTTCTTTACGGCAAGGTCCTACAGTGAAATATGGGCTGATGACCAGAACAGTGAAGTACAATGTTTTATATGTTTAGTTTTAAGCCTAGCCTTTAATGGCTGATCCATCTCTCCAGCCCATTGAAGTACCATGTTAAATAAGGTTGTGTATAGTTTTGTAAATTAGAATTTAAATGACCTGTTGTTTATTACAGATTTGAAATGTTACAATAATGATTTCATGGTATCAACAAACTGTGTCCATACTATAGCCTAGTCAAACAAGTACCCATGGAATATCACTTTTTTTTTTTTTTTTTTTTTGCCAGCTTGCTTTGCATCCATTGAAACACTAATTGACTTCTAGGAGAAATGCATATGATGCACAGCAATACCACTTCACAGCTCCATTTGAAAAGTATGCTTAGCCAATCTAGCTTACAATGAACTTCAAAATGAAGTCCAAAACTTTCTATGTATATGAACCATAAGGATAGAGAGCTACAGAGCCTAAAACACAAAAGTATAGCTATATTTGCCTCAATGAAACATAGCTGGGAAATGAAGTGAAGACAGTTCCTTCTTTCCATGTATTAGTTGAGAACATCTATCAGTGCTAGTTTAAGCAGACTTGGGTAGAGAAATATCTATTGCTGTGAAGAGATAACATGACCAAGGTATTTTTTAAAAAAGAACATTTTTTTAATGTTTAATTTTTTCATTAATCACAGGTTATTTAATTTGTATCCCAGCTGTAGCCCCCTTCCTCACTCCCTCCCAATCTCAGCCTCCCTCCCACATCTCCTCCCACGCACCTCTCCAAGTCCACTGATAGGGGACAAGAACATATTTAATTGTGTGCTCGCTTACAGTTTCACAGGGTTAGTTCATTTTAATCATGAGAGGGATGCAGACAGAGATGTTACTAGAGAAGTAGGTCAGAGATTTACATCCTGCTACTCAGGCAGCAAGCAGCAGGCAGAGAAATACGCTAGGCCTGGCATGGGCTTTTAAAATATCAAAGCCATGCATGGATATAACCTAGAACCCTGCTGGGAAGTAGCCCATGGCAGCTCAGTATCCAAGTGGATTCCATATTTAGGGCAACAGGAACTGTCTCTGACATGAACTCAGTGGCTGGTTCTTTGACCTCCTCACTCCCCGTGGGAAGAGCAGCCTAGCTAGGCCACAGAGGAGGACATTGCAGCCAGTTTTGAAGATACCTGATAGGCGAGGGTCATATGGAAGGGGAGGAGGACCTCCCCTTTCAATGGACTTGGAAAGGGGCAGAAAGGAAGTGAGAGAGGGTGGTTGGGGATTGGGAGGGAATGAGGGAGGAGGCTACAGGTGGGATACAAAGTGAATAAACTGTAATTTATATAAAAAATTTAAAAAAATATATCAAAGCCTACCTCCAGTGAAAAACACTTAACTACTCCAAGAAAGACAAATCTCCTAATCTTTCCAAAACAGAGGACCAGCTGGAGATGAAGCATGCAAATACATGAGCCTATGGGGCCATTCTCATTCAAATCACTACAGAAAATGAATACTAATTAACATATTTTAACAAGTGTATGAACTCATGTATTTAAACACGTTACACTTAGACAAAAAATGTTGCTTCTTGATATGTGTATGTATATGTGTGTGTGTGTGTGTGTGTGTGTGTGTGTGTGTGTGTATGTTTGTGTGATAATATAAATGATGTTACCTGATAGTGGGTGACAATACCCCTACAACACAGGATAAGAAATAAAAAAGTCCAAGGCCAGGACTGAGTGGGTTACCCTTTTTGGAATTGTTTGGTCCAGGATAGTATAGATTCCTAAGCATTACCGGCTATTACCACTCCTTATGTTTACACTTCTGTGCAGTTCTTGACAATAAGATTCTTGCTGACGGTATTATATATGCCATTCAGAAATTTCAGAAAAATCAAGTTGGTACTGACCTGGTAGCTTCATATCTATTCTCAAGTGTCTTAAATACTGGAAGGTGCTACACAGGCTACCAGAAGAAAAAATTATTTAGCATTCTTATCCAGTTGTGTGCCATGAAGAATACCATTATGACTGGCTTAGAAAGGCATGCCCAATGGGGAAATAGTAGAACAAATTTTATAGGGAATAACCAAATAGTTTCTGACTAGATTACTTTCAACTCTACAAAATGGACAGTATACCTGGCAATAATACTGAGTCCAACAATTTGTGGCTAAACAAATCATAGGCTTTAGGAGAGAATTTATTACTACTTTTCTAAAAGGACTCCTAATAACTTCTGACTCTAATCTCACTAGTTCATAGTGAATCTTATTCTTGTTGGAAATGGTGGTAAACAGTAAGATCTGTAACCTTTCAACATGCAGAAAATAAGAGACTGTGGAATATTCTCCCCTAAATATCCTACTACATCCTCCCAAATCTCAGGACTTTTGGAGGAAGAGGAGATAGAAAGATATGTAAGAGCTGCAAGTGATAGATTATTACAATGAAATGCTATGTTCAGAATGAATGGGAGAGTTACAGATATCATCTCCCAGTGTTTGTGACAGCATGTTCAACTCAGATGAAGTCTCAGTATGCAAGGAGAATTTGAGGACAAAAATCCCTAACAAAGGAAAATTGGCCATTGATAACTCCTGTGAGAAGAAAATCCATTTTCTTTAAGAGTTTGACTCCTGGTAGATTTACTACTGCACTCTGGTAGGTAACCTCAAACCCAAGACAGTTCATTCCACTTACTAGCTTTAGAAGAAGAAAAAAAAAGAGTATATGAAGTTGGGTTGGTAGAAAGGTAAGAGTGGATCTAGGAGGATTTATAAAACTTTTGGTTAGTCACAAAACATGAATATGTGAGGAGAAGAGGCTCTGACAAGAGTGATAAGTGGTAAGAAGATAAAATTGGGAGTGATGAATATGTATTGCACACATGCAAATTGTCTAAAAGCAAACTTAATTGATAGAAAAATTTGAACTACAGTGGAGTATACAGTGGGAGGTCAGTTTTTCAGAGCAAGACTAGTTTACTTTAAAATATGTAGAGGAATTTTAATCTAGCAACATGGCTGCTCTCACAAGAGATCACATTCAAATATCCAGGTCTGTGTCATCCTGCTGGAATAAAGATATGCCCTTAGTGTACACCTTTAATCCTTTTGGCTGGAATTTAATATGTACCTTTTATCCCAAACAATGACTTCTAATTGGGGCAGACAATGTGATGAGTCACAGAAAGGTTTGACAGAAAGAGTCAGAGATAGGATACACCCAACTCTCACAGGAACACACTAGAAAGAGAATATACTTAAGAGGAGAGAGAGAGAGAGAGAGAGAGAGAGAGAGAGGAGAAAGCAGAGAAGCCAAAGAGAAAGGAGAAAGCAGAGAGAGATAGAGGGAGAGAGAGAGAGAAGAGTCAGTACAGTAGAGTTTGTGAGTACAGCACAGTTCGGTGTAGTCTGGTGCAGTCCACTTGAATGAAGTTGAGTTTATGCAATTGAGTTTGTGGAATTCAGAGGCAGTTTTTTTGCCAAACAAAACAATTCAGTGAGAAGCAGAGAGAAGCCAGTGTCAATCGGTCAGCTTGGGGAGGAGTTGTGAGCTAGAAACTTCTAGACCTAGGCCTCAGGATAGTTAGATAGAATCACTCTGGGCTCAGACCAAGCAATGTATTCATAAAG